TTATCCTCATTAGTGGAGAGTAGTGATATTGGGCTTATGGAGTCTGCCACCATTTGATAAACTTTACAATTTTTGCATAAAATAATCCGGGAAGTTGGAAGTGGATTGAAGTGGGGATTACCTATTGGTGGACCGATTGAGGAAGACAGTCGATGTAGCTATAACTTCTTGGAATGTCGAACATTTCCTGATAATAAACTTTCAACATTTCTGAGACCTGTGCATGTCTAGGCAATTCATTGTGGCATTTGAGTTTTGTTGATTTTGGTTTTTTCAGTTTGTTTGCATGTTTTCATGTTTTTGTTTTTCGTTGTTGTCTTTATTTCGTTAGTTTGTACTGTATGCTCGGGGACGAGCATCTCTTTAGTTTAGGGGTAGTTGATAATCCTAAATTATACAGTTTTTATTTGATCTTTTGTCGGATTTCAGGTACTTTCTAGTGCATTTTTACCTGAATTGGTGCTTAATTCTTTACTTTTCGTGTTTCAGGTTAAAATGGACTTTTTGAGCGAATAAAGACAAAATTGGATAGTTTTGACTCAGAATTGAGCGGATTTCAGAAGATAGGAGAGTTCCGGAGCAGGACAACGCATGATGAAGCTGTGTTCCAAGGTAGAGAGCCGAAAATCGAAGAATCGAACGAAGAGGCAAGCAGAGTGGCAGTTCATAAATTTCAGAACTTTAAAGGAGCTTCGCCCCGGCGAAGAAATTGTCTTCGCCCGGCGAAGTTAGGCAGAGACGTTTGGAATTTTTATTCTCGCCGCGGCGATAGTCAATTATTCAGTTTTGTAAACGCACAGTTCGTGTGTGCGTGTTTTGGCTGGGTTTTTGGACTAAGTATAAAAGAAAAACTTAACTTTTTTCCAAGGGGCTTGCGCTGTTAGGTTTAGCCGTCTTTTACATTTTCCTTAGAGAAAAAGCTTGAGTTTTTCGGATTGTAAAAGGGAAGATTCAGATTTTGACTAGAAGATTCTCTTTGGGGAGATTTCTTATCTTTCATCTCAGTTTCATTATGTTTAACTTGTTTATTTCTATTTTTCGTTTTGTATTGTTAATTTGGCTATGAACTAATCTTCTATGGGTTAGGGTTTTGATTGTAGTTTGGATTTGAAATGGGTTAAGTATTTGATTGTGTATTTTCCATGTGAAAGCTTTGGTTGTGTGTTACTCTGGAATTAAATGCTGTATGTGATGAACATGATGATTGAGAAATAATTCATGTTAAGCTTCTTGGGTAATCACCATTAGTTTGGATGCTAGAGATAGATTCAAGAATTAATGAAATCAATTTAGGATTCTTGTGCTTAATGAATTTAGAATATTAACCTTCAAATTGTTGGGTGCGGAATGTAATAAGGATGAATAGGCAAACTAGCCGAGAGGGTATGTTAACGTATTAGTGAATCCGATTTACAACCATTGCGCATGAATGTGAAAATAGTGTAACTCTTCGGTTTAACCCATAAAAGTCCAAACGAAGTCAAAACCCTACCCGTTTTAATAGAATGTATGCGTGTGCGTTTGTTTTCTTAGTTAAGATTTAATTCTTTGTTTACTTTCATTTTTGTTTTCTTTTTCATTACAAATTGATCCCACCAATCCAAAGAATTCGATTTCTTCAACTTGATAACGTAGGAAACTTAGTGCTTTGCTACAGTCCTCGTGGGAACGATATCCTACCCATCACTCTATTACTTTATGCGACTAGTGCACTTGCTATTCTTTGCATGTTGTAGTAAACACGCATCAATGCTACCACTAGTCCAAATGATTACAAAGTTCATCACAAAAAGCAAATTTTTTTTTTCTTTGGGGATATCACAAAGTTTTGTTTGGGATTGTATCAAAAACACAAGCATAATAACCACCATGTAACCAATACAAAATACAAACCAAAAACACACAAATAAAATAAACACTTCCTAAAAACAAACTCACCAAACAAAAGAAACAGACTATCAACAATGCAACACAAACCAAACAACAATGCAACACAAATCAAATTCCCACTCCCCCAAACTTAAAGAATGCAATGTCCTCAATGCATGAAAAACAAAAACAAAACAGAAAATATGGAAAATAAAAGATAGAAACTTCCCTGAAAAATGAGAGATTTTTTTTTTTTGCACATGGCCATGGCTGTGTAAAATGACACGGGGTACCCCATGGTGAAGCCTGGAATCTACAAGCTTTTTATCTTTTAACATGGCCACAACTGTGTAAAATAACACAGGGTAGCCTGTGTTTTATTCTGCTCAAAATTGTATTCTTATTCTATCACTTAAGCTTCCCCCAAACTTGTTCCTGAATTACCTCATATGGACCCGTCCATCTTGATTTCAGCTTTCCTGGGAAAAGACGAAGACGACAACTTGCTGTCCCAGCTCGAACTCTTTTTTCATAATGTGCCTATCATGCCATCTCTTTGTCTTCTCCTTGTACAAACTAGCACTCTCGTATGCCCAATGACGAAATCCATTTAGGTCACTCACTTGCAAAAGATGTTTTGCACCTGCACTTTGCACATCAAAATTCAAAAATTTAGTAGCCCAATAAGCTTTGTGCTCTAATTCTACTGGCAGGTGACATGCTTTTCCAAATACTAGCCTATAAGGTGACATACCTAGAGGTGTTTTAAAGGCTGTCCTAAATGCCCATAAAGCATCGTCTAACTTTGTCGCCCAATCTTTTCTAGAGGCACTAACAGTCTTTTCTAATATTCGTTTTAGCTCTCTATTAGAGATCTCTATTTGACCACTAGTTTGGGCATGGTAAGGAGTGGCTACCTTGTGTGTGACTCCATATTTCTTTAAGAGTGTATTAAATTGGTGATTACAAAAATGCTTCCCACCATCACTTATGATTGCCCTAGGAGTTCCATATCTAGTGAAAATATTCCGCCTAAGGAATTTGAGTACTGTTCTAGAATCATTAGTTTTGGTGGCAATTGCCTCCACCCATTTAGAAACGTAATCTACTGCCACAAGTATAAAAGCGTTTCCATACGATGATGGAAACGGTCCCATGAAATCAATACCCCAAATATCAAAAATTTCACATACCAATTTATTATTTAAAGGCATCTCATCTTTCTTAGAAATATTACCTATTCTTTAGCAACGATCACAAGAGGATAAATACCTTTGAACATCCCAAAACACAATGGGCCAATAAAAATCTGATTGCAACACCTTTGCCGCTATGCGATTCACCACGAAATGCCCTTCGGTTTCTCTATCATGGCAATGACTCAAAATAGCTCCAATCTCTTCTTTCGGCACACATTTTTTGAACAACTTGATCTGCACATAGTTTGTACAAGTAAGGGTCTTCCCACAGATAATATTTGACATCAGCAAAAAATTTCTTCGTTTTTTGGAATGTGGAATGCTTTGGAATCTAGCCTCCTGCAAGAAAATTAGCCAAATCAGCAAACCATGGAGATTTAGAAAAAGGAGAGTTAAGAGATAGAATTTGCTCATTAGGAAATTCTGCACTAATATCTCCCTTTTCAAGGATTGAATTATCTAGTCGAGATAAATGATCAACAACTTGATTTTCTGTCCCCTTTCGATCTTTAATCTCCAAATCAAACTCTTGAAGTAGAAGGACCCATCTGATAAGGCATGGTTTGGCATCCTTCTTAGCAAAGAGATGTCGTAGAGTTGCGTGATTTGTGTAGACTATGGATTTCGTGCCTATGAGGTAGGATCTAAACTTCTCGAATGCAAAGACCACTGCTAGTAATTCTTTCTCGGTTGTTGTGTAGTTCAGTTGTAGACCATTTAAGGTATGACTGGCATAGGATATGAACTGAAACATTTTGTCTTTCCTTTGACCGAGAGCAGCACCAATGGCATAGGTATTCGTGTCACACATAATTTCAAAAGGGTTGTTCCAATCTGGTACGACCACTATTGGTGTTGTCACTAGCTTCTCCTTTAGCAAATTAAAGGCATGCAAACATTCAAAATCAAAGTTAAATTTTATATCCTTGGCAAGAAGATTAGATAGAGGTTTTGCAATTTTTGAGAAATCTTTAATAAATCTTCTATAAAATCCCACATGGCCAAGGAAATTTCTGACTGCTCGAACCGTCGTTAGGCCCTGGGGGGGGGGGGGGGGTAATTTTTCAATCACTTCCACTTTTGCTTTATCAACCTCAATCCCTTGCTCAGAGATCTTATGTCCAAGCACGATACCTTCTTGTACCATAAAATGGCACTTCTCCCAATTTAGCACAAGATTTGATTCCTCACAATGCTGTAAAACTAACGCAAGATTTTGCAAACAAGATTCAAAGGTTAGTCCATATAACGTAAAATCATCCATGAAAATTTCTAGAAATTTTTCAGTCATGTCAGAGAAAATTGCCATCATACAACGTTGGAAAGTAGTTGGCGCATTACATAAACCAAATGGCATACGTCGATAAGAGAACGTGCCATAAGGACAAGTAAATGTTGTTTTCTCTTGGTCCTTTGGAGTAATAGGAATTTGATAATAACCAGAATAGCCATCAAGAAAACAGTAAAATTTATTACTCGCTAATCTCTCTAACATCTGATCAATAAATGGCAATGGGAAATGATCTTTTCTAGTGGCAGAATTTAATCTTCTATAGTCTATACACACACGCCATCCAGTTACCATCCTAGTAGGGATAAGCTCATTATTTTCATTCTTCACTACAGTCATTCCCCCTTTCTTAGGCACCACTTGCACAGGACTAACACAAATACTATTAGAGATAGGATAAATAATACCTGCATCAAGTAATTTTACCACTTCCTTTTGTACCACTTCTTGCATGGCAGGATTTAATCCCCTTTGTGGTTGTATTGTTGGCTTGAAATTCTCTTCCAAGAGGATCTTATGCATGCATATGGAAGGGCTTATTCCCTTGATATCAGCAATTGTCCATCCCATAGCGTTCTTGTGCTTCTTCAAAATGTCTAGCAGTGACTTCTCCTCCAAATCTGTCAAAGATGCAGAAATAATCACGGGGTAAGCATCTTTATGTGAAGGAAGGGTTTAAGTTCAAGTTTAGGAGTCTCATTAGGTGTTTTATGCAAATCCTCCTTTAGCTCCATATTATTATCAGTAAGAGATTCATTCTCTAACGCTTCAGCTTCTTCTCTGAAGCACGGGTCTTCATCTTCTGTTGTGCTTGACTCCATTAGACATCTCTCTAAAGAGTCCTTCTGCGAAACTTCTTCTCTGTGATCACCTACAATCTCACCAAAACTGTCAGAGTGAAAACAAGATTCAATATAAAATGTAGTAGGATTTTTCATGGCTTTATGGACATCAAACACTATTTCTTCGTCATTTAGTCTTAGAATTAATTTTCCTTGTTGTACGTCTATTAAAGCACGAGCTGTCGCCAAAAATGGATGTCCCAAAATTAGAGGCACCTCTTGGTCCTCCTCCATATCAAGAACTACAAAGTCCACTAGAAAGATAAATTTGTCGACCTTTAACAAAATGTCTTCAACAATGCCTTTAGGTCGTTTGATTGATCTATCAGCAAGCTGGAGCGACATGGTCATCTCTTTTACTTCTCCAAGTTCTAGCTTCTTGAAAATTGATAAAGGCATTAAATTAATACTAGCACTTAAATCACACAATGCTTTATCAAAGAATGAATCTCCTAATGCACAAGGTATAGTAAAACTCTCTGGATCTCTCAGTTTAGGAGGTAATTTATTTTGCAGTACGACACTGCATTCTTCAGTGAGCATAATTGTCCCATGCTCCTCGATCTTCCGCTTGTTAGAAAAGATGTCTTTTAAGAACTTTGCATAACTAGACATCTGTGCTAATGCTTCAGCAAATGGAATATTTATTTGCAATTTCTTAAAGACCTCTAAAAACTTTGAAAATTGTTGATCCAGTTTATCCTTTCTAATTCTATCAGGATAAGGAAATTTTGATACATCTTTTTCAATAACAATAAAATCATAATTTGATGTACCTTTTCCTTTACCTTTTGCAATTTCCTTTACCTTAGTCTCTGTCTTATTTTCTGAATTCGCTTTCTTTTCTTCAATAGAGACTGGTAACTCCGCTTCACTTTCCACCTTCTTTTGTGATTCTTCTTCACTAACCACCTTTCCATCCCTCAAGGTTATGGCCTTACATTGCTCATTCGGGTTCTTTTCTATGTCACTTGATAAATGCCCTTGTTGTCTACCCGAAATGATATTGGCCAACTGGCCAATTTGAGCTTCTAAATTCTTGATGGAAGCCTCTTGATTCTAAATTCTTATCTCTGTAGTACTCAAGAACTTCGCCATCATCTCCTTTAAATTTGATTTCTTCTCTTGAGATTGAAAACCTGGCAATGGAGGTTTCACTTGATTGTTGTTACTCCAATAGAAATTTGGGTGATTCCTCCACCCCAGATTATATGTTTCATTGTATGGATTATTATTAGGCTTGCGAAAATTTGAAACATAGTTAGCTTGATTAGGCATAGAATTAACAGCAAACATGTTACCTGATTGACACTCATGGTTAGGGTGATCTTGGCCACAAAAATCACACATAGAAGCAACTATTACGGGTTTTTGCATTTGAAGTCCATCAATCTTCTTATTTAATGCCTGCATTTGTGCTGCCAAAGCCGTGATAACATTTATGTTATGAACACCCGACGTTCTTCTCACAGGCAACCTCTTTATCGGCCATTGATAAGAGTTTGAAGCCCTTTCCTCCAGCAATTCATAAGCTTGTTCTGGTGTCTTCTTACCTAAAGTACCACTCGCAACATCATTGATCATATTTCGAACTTCACTATTAAGACCATTATAGAATGTCTGCACTTGCAGCCAAACCGGTAATTCATGGTGGGGACATCTCCGGAGCATGTCCTTGAACCTTTCCCATGCTTCGTATAGTGACTCTGTATCCACCTGCATAAACATAGTAATATCATTACGCAATTGTGCAGTCTTTGCAGGAGGAAAATACCTACTCATGAATTTTTGTGTCATTTGCTCCCAGGTTGTAATCGAGTCTGTTGGTAATGAGGTCAACCAACTCTTAGCTTTGTCTCTTAATGAAAATGGGAACAATCTTAGTCTTATAGCTTCATCAGAAACTCCATTGTGCTTAAAAGTATCACAAATATCCAGGAAATTTGCAATATGTAAGTTGGGATCTTCATGTGCCAAACCACCAAACTGCATTGACTGTTGAATCATCTAGATGATTGCTGGCTTTATCTCAAAGGTGTTGGCATTGATCACTGGTCGTCGAATACTCGATGTCGCTCCATTTAGAGATGGGGTAGATTACTCGTTTAGTGTACGAGTTGCTGGTGGTGTTCTGTTATTTGGGTTATCGTGATCACCATGATCTCCCTTTTGATTGCTCTCTTTCTTGCGTGAAAAGTACGCTCTATCTCAGGATCAAATGCTAGTAAAATCTTTCCAAAAGCTTTGGTCATACACTAGCAGAAACACCTATTGGTTTCCAATAAAAAACAAATAAAATAAAATAAAATTCTCAAAGTAACATGTAATCTTAAAATAATCACAAACAATCTGATGATCCCCGGCAGCAGTGCCAAAAACTTGATGTGACTAAATCAACCTTAGCAAGTGCATTAGTCGTGTTCAAGTAATAAAGTGATGAGTTGAGTATCGTTCCATAGAGATCAAAGCAATTATTCGTAATTACCCAAAACTACCTAATGTTATTTGAGAAAACGAAAGTTTAGAGTGTAAAACTAATGGATTAAAAATAACTAAATTGAACAAATAAACTATGTGAAGAACTTTGCAATATTAATCAAGTTAGGGTACAGATTTCCCCCTAATTATGCTTAACAACCACTCTTAATATCCGTTTGTTCTATGAATTGGTAGGATTCTTCTAAGGCCAATTATCCTTATTCAGGCATAATATTCAACTTACTACAAATCCTTATTTTGTTACTCTGAAATTAGGAAGCATAAATTCATCAATCCCTTACGACTAATTCGCCCTATTCGGTTATGAATTAGATGGACCACAAATTAATCCTAAAATCTCTATTCGACTACTTCTAGTTTTAATATGTTGTGCAATGTTATTCCCAAAGAACAATTATGAATAGGAATTAAGCAATAAACCCTAACTTCTCTATTTGAAACATCATCAAGGTAATTGAATCAATCCAACATTCATAAAGCATTAAACCTAAACTCTTGCACAAATTCATAAACATAAATCTGGTATTAAGAATAAAAATTGTTCAAAACATAATTAGGGTTCCATCATCCCCTAATAAAAGAGATTTACTCCATCCCAAGAACAAAGAAAGAAATAGAGAAGAAAGAAAACATAATCAGGCTTGAAAATAAATAAAAATCAAACTCTTAAATCTGATCTTTAGTCTTCAAGCCCCAAGAATGCGTCTTCTCCTCTCAAAATTTTAGGGGTGAGCGCGGGTAATGGGCAGAACCGAAACTTGCGAGTAGAACCGAAACCGGAACCTACTTGGAACCCACACTGTGCGGGTAGGTTCCGGTTCCATTTTATTGGAATCGATACTATGCGGTTCTGGTTCCGGTTCTTATGTGTAGAGGAACCGAAAACAGAAACCGAAACCTAAACCTGAAACGGGTACCCGGTTTGGAACCTGCTTGGAACCTGTAGCGGGTACCCGGTTTAAAACCTGTTTAGAACTTGTTCTGGAACCTGGGCTGTAATGAAATATTTGTGAATAATGGGGGGTTTCTATAATTTTACATATAAAAAAATTTAAAATAGAAAAAGTTAAATTTTTAGAATAATCTAATTAAATAAATATACAATTATACTTATTACATATAAACTACACCATATTAAAAACTTTAATATATTAATATTAAAATTTTGATTAATTAAGTGTATAATTGGAATTAGGATCCAATTAAAAGTGTTTTAATGTTATTAAAAGAATTATTTTTGAATAAAATAGTATATTTGATTGAATAATAATATATTTAGTTATTTACTTCAATTATCAAGTTCTAAGTATATCTATAATAAATTAGTAATTAATTAATTATACATGATAAATTGATAAACATTGATAAATTTAATTACTAGTTAAATATCATACTTAATCAATTATAACATTACATTATAGTTAAATGATTACTTAATTAATTATAATTTTATAATATTACTTTAATTGATTTATAGTATAATTAACTATAGCATTACATTAATTGATTACTACTTAATTAATTGACTTATAATATTTAGTATATTACTTAATTAAATAATTAGAAATTTAATTAATTATAGCATTACATTATAGATTTATAGTATAATTACTTAATCAATTATAACATTTCATTATAAACATTAGTACAATACTTAATTAAATGATTAGAAATTTAATTAATTATAATATTACATTAAATATTTATAGTATGATTACTTAGTTCACTATAACATTACGTTATAGTATGATCACATAATTAATTATAATATTATATGATTAAATGATTACTTAATTGATTATGACATTATATTATAAACATTAGTAATTATTAATTTACTTCATAAACATTAGCACAATATTTAATTAAATGATTATAAATTAAATGATTATTTAATTAATTATAACAATCTATTATAAATAAATAAATTATAATATTATAGTAAATATTTATAGTATAATTACTTAATTCATTATAATATGATTACATAATTAATTATAACATTACATAATTAGATGATTATTTAATTGATTATGACATTATATTATAAACATTAATTATAACATTACATTATAAACAAATGATTACTTAATTAAATTATAATATTATTACATTACATTATATTATGATCATTTATTTAATTATAGTATTATATATTTAAATGATTACTTAATTAGTTATAAATTTATAACATTATATTATAAACATTAGCAATTTACTATATTATTACATTACTTAATTAAATGATTAAAAATTTAATTAATTATAATATTACATTATAGATTTATAGTATGATTATTTAATCAATTATAACATTCTATTATAAATATTAATATATTAATTAAATGATTAGAAATTTAATTAATTACAATATTAAATTATAGATTTGTAGTATGATTACTTAATTCATTATAACATTACATTATATTATGATCACATAATTAATTATAACATTACATAATTAAATGATTACTTAATTGATTATGATATTATATTATAAATATTAGTAATTCACTATATAAACATTAGCACAATACTTAATCAAATGATTAGAAATTTAATTAATTATAACATATTAACATTACATTATAAATTTATAGTATGATTACTTAATTAATTGTAACATTATACTATAAACAAATGATTACTTAATTAAATTATTACGTAATTAATTATAACATTATTACATTACATTATATTATGATAACTTAATTAATTATAACATTAAATAGTTAAATGATTACTTAATTAATTATAAATTTATAACATTACATTATAAACATTAGCAATTTACTACATTATTACATTACTTAATTAAATGATTAAAAATTTAATTAATTATAATACTACATTATAGATTTATAGTATGACTACTTAATCAATTATAACATTCCACTATAGACATTAGTACATTAATTAAATGATTAGAAATTTAATTAATTACAATATTAAATTATAGATTTATAGTATGATTACTTAATTCGTTATAACATTACATTATAGTATGATTACATAATTAATTATAACATTACATAATTAAATGATTACTTAATTGATTATGATATTATATTATAAATATTAGTAATTTACACAATACTTAATTAAATGATTAGAATTTTAAGTAATTATAACATTACATTATAAATTTATAGTACGATTACTTAATTAATTATAACATTATATTATAAACATTAGTACAATACTTAATTAAACGATTAGAAATTTAATTAATTATAATATTACATTATAGTTAAATAACATATTACTTACTTAATTATAACATTACAATTTACATTGTAATATGATCACTTAATTAATTATAACATTACATAATTAAATGATTACTAATTAATTATGACATTATATTATAAACATTAAACATTAGTAATTAATTAAATGATTAGAAATTTAATTGATTATAACATTACATTATTGTTAAATAATTACTTAATTAATTATAACATTGCATTATAGTATGATCACTTAATTATGTATAACATTACATAGTTAAATGATTACTTAATTAATTATAAATTTATAACATTACATTATAAACATTATTAATTTACTACATTAGTCATTAGTACATTACTTAATTAAATGGTTAAAAATTCTAATTAATTGTGACATTACATTATAAATTTGTAGTATGATTACTTAATTAATTATAACATTATATTATAAATATTAGTACAATATTTAATTAAATAATTAGAAATTTAATTAATTATAACATTATATTATAAATGTATAGTATGATTACTTAATTAATTATAACATTACATTATAATTAAATAATTACTTAATTAATTACAACATTGCTATATTATATTATAAACATTAATAATTTATAAGATTAAATTTACTACATTAGTATTTAGTAGGGGGAGAATCAAAGAAGTTGGTGACAATTTCTAACTTTCTATATTGTTGTTTGTTTGAACGATTTTGGTGAAGTTATTTGATGTGAATTGTGATGAATAATTGTTTATGTTTTGGTTTTGATTGAGGAATTTTATGTGAATTGTGATGAATTGATTGAATTCAAGTGTTGCCTAGAGATTAGAGGATTTATGGGTTACATTGGACACAAATGAATGAGTAATCAAAATTTGTTAGGGGTGTATTTGTAAACTTTTAAGGTAATTTTGTCATTTTTAAACTAATATGGGGGTAATTGATTTTTTATAGGGTACCCAGGAAAGGAACCAGAACCTGCATTTTAGGTTCTGGTTCCTTGAATTTAAGAACCTGCACTGTGCGGTTCCGGTTCCTTTTTTTGGGAACCTGTACTGTGCGGTTCCGGTTCTGGTTCCGATTCCGATTCCCCCGAAAAATATAGGGTACCTAGAACCGCTTACCTCTACTAAAGAATATGCAAAATTCGTACCTTGACAACTGATCTCAATTATACTTAAATACCCAAAAGAGTCTTAAGTGGAAAAGGAAATAAAAACTGATAAAAACGCCCTAATAGTTTCCGCCACAACCCTGGCCGTGGCCAAATTTAAGTCACCATAGCCTAGGGCATGGTGCTTCCTGGTCTCTTTGTTTTCTCTTTGTTCCACCACCATGACCATGGTGAACTACCAAGGCATGGCCGTGGCCTTCAAGAATGTTAGGTAATCTCAACTTCTTTAAGCTTTAAGTCCCAATTTCATTCCAATTCTCCAATCTACTCAATCAAAGCCTGAAAAACACAAAAGTTATCCAAATCAATAGGTAACCATTCATATCTCAAACTTAACAAAAACAAACATCAAAACAAAGGAAACAAATGAGAAGTTAACTAAACTAACATCAAAACAGTCCTAAAAACACTCAAATCATGCAACTTCTCAGTGGTGTTTGCCATAGGCACTCCGACGCTCAAGTTATTAAGGTTGAGGGAGTCTAATTTAGTAAGGGTTAGGGAGAGAAAAGGTTACCAGAAGTCTAGTCGGAGACTGTAACTACGGCTGTAATGCGAAGTTCTCAAGAGTAGGAACTCCGGGGTCTGAAGGTGTAATCTGTCTATCCCTTGCGAGAGGGCTGACCTTTGGTTAAATAGCGACTGCAGGGTCTTCGAATCCTGGTGGGACAGGGAGTCCTTGCAGTTGTGGTTTTGTGAAAGAGTGGAGCCTTTGTCTCCCTTACCTCAATAGGAAAGGAAGTCCCAGCGTGTCTAGGATACAAATCATAGATGAATTAGGGTATTGGTTGACCTCTTTAGTAGAGTTTAGATAGTATCGGAGTGCGTAGGCGACCCTACGCTCCAAGTAGATCTTAAGTCTAGAAGGTGTTCTAGGATCAGAGGGCCTGGGCCCAGATAAGCTAGCAATGAGGCCTAAACGAATCGGGCCTCTGCTGATTGGGTCCAAATGGTGAGCAACTGGGTAGGCGTACTGAATGGAGCTCATCTGCAGAACTCTGTTGTGGGCCCAATTAGAATTGGGCCATAGCTTTCATCTTTGTTGAAGGTGTCTTCGTCTTTGGGCCTATTTGGGTCGAGGACCTTTTTTGGCCCTAACAATTATCATCATCATCATCGTCGTCGTCGTCGTCATCGTCATCATCCTTATTGTCATCGTCATCGTGGTCGTCGTCGTGGTCATCATCATCATCATCGTCATCGTCATCGTCATCGTCATCGTCATCGTCATTGTCATCATAGTCGTCGTCATCATCATCATCATCATTATTATTATTATTATTATTATCATCATCATCATCATCATCATCATGATTATTATTATGATTATTATGATTATTATTATTATTATCATCATCATCATCATCATCATTGTAAAACCCCTCCCTAGCCGGATATTTCCTAAGTATCCCTTGACCATTGAGAATCAAGAAAATGCACTCTTAGGAAAGAAGATTATTTTTAAAATGCTATTTAAAGAATAAACTAGTAGTTTAAAAACATATATTTTCTTTTTTCTAAACTATAATAAGTTCATTGTACAAGTCAAACAATATAGTTTCCTTTCTTGGAGAAAATTATGAAATCCATAGTAATACTTATTAGAACATACACTTTTTTACAATTTTTACTAGCAATTTGATTTCCTTTATTAATACAAACATATATACTCCATTATAACATGGACATATTTACTGCATTATGAGATCTAAACATAATTACTACACTAAATACTAGCAAAACCATTCAATAGTCATAATTAAAACATCCCTTCATGCTTATAGTGTCCCTTGGAATCCTCTCTCAGCTTCATGCCTTAATCCTTTCCTGCAAAACATTTTAAAACATTTCATGGGGTGAGCGCTAATCGCTCAGTAAGGGAATATGGCTATTTATAAACTATTAAGGTTCATTATACAAGTATATTACTTAGGACCTTACCTACCTACAAGACATGACCTTCATTCATTGACATTAACAAGTTCATACAACATGTCATACACTTTGGACTTTTCTCATAAACATAAGTCATAACATAACCATACATAAAATAACATAGAACATATATGACTTATGCAATATTCATAAACATGGCATGCCTATTTCTTTTGTCTTTGTACTTGATGTTTTCATTAGTCTTTATTATCCGATCAGATTCATTTGAACCATTACCTTGTTCTTGGTCGTCACCTCAAAGGACTCATGGTTTCCATAAGAATTCCATTCCTCTGATCTTGGTTTATACCTCAAGAGACTCATGGAATTCATTCTTTAACATTTCATAAATTTTTCATAAGACAACTAAATAAGCTATATGCATTACCATTATGAATGCAAACATATGGACTAACATCTCCCATGCTCAATCATACTATATTCTCCTACTAAACTTCTTAACTTAATTCATTTAATTTCTCATACAATTCAAGGAATTTTGGTATTAAGTTTATTCAGGGGTTTATTAGAATTAGAAACAAATGGGAATTTCCATTAAGAAGGTGGATGCCATACAGTTCGTTACTTTCAAGCAATTTTTCCATTATCTTCTAATTCGAATTTATTTTTGGCTAAAACATAAAAGTTTTAGGTCTGTTTCTCAACTTTTTAACACTTCAAGAATCAACTCAATCGGACTTCTATAACTTCAGTTATGACTGATTCAGTGAAGCATGTACAGTATAAGTCCTAAAAAGCCAAATCCGAATTCTATTCATTTTAACCATGTCACCTTCATTTGCACATTCATATCATTTGCCATGTCATTCTAAGTATAAAAGGCCATAAAAACCTCCCTTTTTACAGAACCAAAAAGTGCCAAAACATCGTCCAACTACAAATCTCTTAATTGGCATAATCATCCTCCATATGCACACATACACCAATCAACACACCCATTTAAACAATCCATAGCCAAAACATAGTATCACACTCATATTAACATAAATAAATATAAGTTTGATAGACCCTATGTGTTATCAATTGTAGTCATAAGGGAGATTTTTTCCTTACCTTAGTATTCAAAGCATAAAGACACTCCTCTTTAGCTCCAAAGGTTCACCCTTTCTACCTTACACACATAACCACTTATGAATTTCTCTTTTAACTAAAAATCAGAATAACTAGGGTTTTGAAACTCACCTTAAACCCTGAAATTGAAGTTCTTTAAGTGTGGATGGTGATCTCCTTTGAAATTCAACTTGAAATCCTATGAAAATTTTAGAGAGAGAGCTTGAATTTAAGCCTTTAATGGAGGAGAATGAGACTTGAAGAAGAGAGTTTGATATTCTAAGAGTGTTGGCCGACTTAACCAAGGAAATATCTTATAAATATTTCATTTTTTTTTAATTCCCAAATGGGATTGGCCATCAAAGTTAGAGATATGGGTCATTTGGCATAAATTTTGCATATAAAGGCATTTTGGTCATTTCTACTACAATATAATGATTAACACTCATTTAATGCCATTTGACTTCTTTAAAACACTTAGTAATTAAGCAATCCCATTAGGTAAATGACTAATTCACCCTTGGTACACTTTTATGGATACTTAATTCATATGAATTTGTATAAAAAGACTATTATACCCTTGGTTACCGTTTACGCCATTTAACCATAGCAATCAACTTTATGACCATTCTACCCTCATTTCTCTTCAATGACATCACCCCTTACACTTTATAATGGCCACATCTCGAAATACATGTAAATTGACCATTTTATCTTTCCATTCAAAAAAAGAAAATTACTTGAAAAGGTAAATTTCATACCTTTGGGCATCAGAATAATAACGCGGGGTTTACAATCATCATCATCAAAGTTATTTATTTGATTTAGTATCATTATTTTGATAACTTATGGGAATCATTGTTGATTATGGAGTTTGATTACCAAAGTAGGACATTACTCAAATAACCAAAGTTCCATAAATTACTCACATAACTAAATTTACATACGTTACTCAAAATAATTAAAGTTCCATGCATTACTTGAATAACTAAGGGTGAGTTTGGGTAACTATTTATGATACTATTTGGGTTCTAATTTTTAGAATATGCATTTGTTTTATTGGTCAGGGAATTATATCTAAAAAATTTGATTCTTGACATATTTGACCATTCTGTTTGTGGAGTCTGCCATCACCATAATCCAAAACACAAAGAGGGAATGAAAAAACTCATTCACACATCGCTTTTAATGGAAGAACTGTACCCACTTTGATCATCATAGTACTTAGACCAAAGCATTACACCTCCATACTTTTCAGAACTTTTGATGGCTGGGAGTACTGTGGAAGTTAAATAAGTTGCCGGAATGAATCCACTTCCAACTGCAGCTGGAGCAGCAGGAAGTCCTAAGAAATTTTGGTTGCTGGAATATCAGAAGTCCATTGTTTCCATGCATCTTCTAAGTTTCTAATATTACCAGATGTGTATTGGCATGGAGGGTTGTTATAAAATTGGACCCAAACATGATCAAACAATCCCGTTTGAAGGGCACCTCCAACCCAAGCGTCAGGATAAGGACACTGTGGAGCTGCGGTTAAGTATACTTTTTTACCGTTTTTCTTGTACCCAGAAAGGTACCTTGCAAGATCGTCCCAGTAATGGTTTGTTCCTCCTTCAATATCGAAATCGATCCCATCCAAAAAAGCGTCACCGAGAGGGCGATCCGATGATTTTCCTCCCAAGAAGTTGTTCCAGAGATAAATTGCAACTTGTCTAGCATCCTCAGAGGAGGTAAGGTAGTAGCTCCCTGCACCTCCTCCAATTGAAAGCATTACTTTAATTCCTTTAGCTTGACAAGATTTTATGTCAGAGCTGAGTTTAGTGCAGCCCTTAACGGATGGATCGCAGTGACCAGCAAGATTGAGTGTGGGAATCTGACCATTCCCAAACGTTGGAAGAAAAGCTATGTTCACAAAGTCATAGTTAACTGTGGCACAAGTCTCTGCCAAGGTACCTTCATTCCCATTCTGGCCCCAATAGATGGCAATTCCACCAGCATCAATACCTGTCACGAGAACTAGACTTGCAGTGAAAAGCAATGCTATAGAAATTGATGCCATTCTTTACGATGGCTTTTTAACTATTTACTTCACTAACAATTTCTTCTTCTGTGCTCAAAAGTGTTGAAGAAGAATGTTATTTATAGGACAAAACACGACCACTTAATTGGCCATAATTCTGTTGTTTAGTGCATAAATTAGATTCATCTACCACATAAAATTTGTTTCCTTTATACGGCTTGTTCGAAAATCATGAGTATCCATGGCTTTTAGTATATATATCAATGCAATTAGCTTACAAGATATTATGATCTGTCTACTATGTATTGTACTGCTGTTTTGTGATCTTATAATTGTCTCTCTAATGGAATTAATTGCCTCCTGTTTTATGGTCTTACAATTGTCTGTTTCGCTCGAATTGCTTATTCATAGACATATTAAGCATCAAACATGACTCAGTGGCGGCAAAATGACAAACGCAAGAATTCTGAATAGATAAGAACCATAATCATATTTTTAGAATCAGCAACCAATTTTATGGTCTTTAGCTCAGCGTGTCGGTCATGCAACACTTTATTCAATATTTTGTGAAAGCCTTAAAGGCAGAGCGATAAGAAGTAAATATAGCCTGTTTGACATTAGGAGACAAGTAAATGTACTCTGTACTGGACTTCAACTTATATTAAAAATACCTTCCACGGAAAGTTCTCAGAAATTGGATTGGAAACTTCATTAATAGAGCTTGTATTAGATGTTTGATATCCTGCCATAGCAACGTATTGATTAATTTGAAACCAAATATTTATTAGAAGATACTATAAAAATTCCATGTTTAGATTGTGTTGGCTTAATTTAATCAGCATATTTGAACAGTTTCTACTTTCTATGACATCTTCTTTGTCTCTTAGCTCCTGTTCGCTTCTGCGATTACAACTTATTAATTTGTTTGATCTTTCTTTTTCTTATGTACATTTCGTTCTTGACACTCAAAATTAAAATTTCAAAAACATCGATATCATATTGTTATTATTTTATTTTAATTCTATGTATATATAGTATTCCCTTTCTAGCTTTTCTCAAAAAATCCAAGAGCTTGCATTATCTTAATTACCAAGAGAAAAGAGCAATCATCAATCATGTTATTGTTGTTGCACATAATAATCTGGATATAAACTTAATATGAAACAGTGGAACTATTGATCTTGAACTTTCCTCCATTTAGTACTTCAATATTCTAACATTGAAACAATTTGTGGTTAAAATCATTTCCCTTGCATAGGAATAGTTCCCACTTAATATTGGCAATAATTGGGACGAAAATTATGTTCAATCTTATCCTACGAACAGGTATATATAAACAAACTTTTTTGTATGATGATTCTTTGACATTTAGGTTCTTCAAGTCTGTGTGCTAATTTTGAATCGATCGTTAGAAGGATCATTAGGGTCAAAACTTATTTTATGTGCGCAAACCAGATCAAGATTAACTTTAATTAAGAAAGCCAAGCAATTAAGAAGAAGAGCAACGAGATAAAATTTTAAGACCACTATATATATATATATAAAAGTTGAGTTTTTAGAATTAGACATAGTTCTTAATAGAAGAACTGTATCCACTTTGATCATCATAATACATAGACCATAGCATAACGCCGCCGTATTTGGAAGAACCCTTGATGACCGGAAGCACTTTTGATTTGAGATCAGCTACTGGAATGAAGCCACTACCTGCAGCCTCAGGAGATGCAGGTAATCCTAAGAAAATCTTGTTGGCAGGGATATCTGAAGTCCAAGCTTTCCATGCGTCTTTAAGGTTGCCAATATTTCCTGGAGTGTATTGACAAGGTGGGTTGTTATAGAATTGAACCCAGACATAATCAAAAACACCAGTCTTGAGAGCATTTCCTATCCAAGCATCAGGAAACGGGCATTGAGGAGCTGCTGATATGTAAACCTTCTTGCCTTTTTTGCTATATGCTGAGAGAAACCCTGCAAGCTCACCCCAATGTTGGTTGGTTCCTCCTTCAATATCAAAATCAATTCCATCCAAAACAGCGGCGCCAAGTGGACGAGACGACGATTGGCCCCCTAAGAAATTATTCCAAAGGTAAGTAGCAACACTCTTAGCATCTGCAGTGGAGGTAAGGGAGTAGCTACCGGAAGCACCCCCTAAAGAAAGAAGAACTTTGATGCCTTTTGCTTGACAAGATTTAATGTCAGAGCTCAACCCAGTACAACCATTGCTGTATGGATCACAATGACCAGCAAGGTTTATCATTGGGGTCTGCCCATTGCCAAAAGTTGCCAGAAAAGATAATATAACATATTCATAGTTTCCTGTGGCACAAGTCTCTTTCAGGGTGCCCTCGTTGCCATTTTGACCCCAGTAGATGGCAATTCCACCAGCTTTAGAACCTATTGCTAGTAATAGCAATACCAAGGAGAAAAATGTCAATGAAATCGCTGATCGAAACGCCATTGCTAGCCGGAACCAATCACTCTATTATTTGTTTTGTTTGTGTGGTGAGTTATGATTAATGAGCGCTTGTGCATTTTATATACGAATCACTTTATTATGGTAATCACGTACGGCATCCACCAGAGTTGGATAATAGTAGCTTCACGCAGACGGAGTACGTTTTTTAATTAAGCACTCATTAATTTGAAAGTTGGTTTGTCCTCTTGCCTTTTGTTCATAACTCTCTTCACTGTCTTGTTTGGTTGCCATTTACGACTTTGTTTATGCAATCACACTAGTCTTACAAACACAAATACAAAGAGGGTTGTACAAAGTGACGTGGCAATACCACATCAGTTTGCACATCATCATTTGCCACATCATCATTAAATATTAATTTTTTAATTCTAATTTTCTATTTCTTCTACTCCCTTTTTATTTACTTCATCATTTCAAATTTCAAATTTTCAATCTTCTTCTCCATCGCTGTCTTCTCTTTCACGCTTTTTCATGCTCTTCTGCTATTCGCTCTTCTCCATCACTCTCTTCATCTTCATCGCTCTTCTCCATCACTCTCTTTTTCGCGCTCTTCTCCGTCACTTTGTTCTCTAGTCAACGCTTCTCCATCTCCATCGCTTTCTTCATTTCCAGTGCTCTACTCTATTTCTCTCTTCTCCTATAAGCTCTTCTCCATCTCATCGCTCTTCTCCATCGCTCCCTTCCCCTGCCGACTAACGAAACCATAACCCCAACCGAAATCATAGAGTGCCTAGCACTGTTGTTTGAAAGCTTCTAAAATCTGACAGAGGAACCAAAAGAGAGAAGTGAACAAAGTGACTGTGTGGATTCTCCGAAATTCCGCCGTTACCTCCACCTGAACGAAATAGAGAAGCAACAGGAACAAAATAATAATAGTTAAACAAAACAAACAGTAAACAAAGAAAGTAATACGTGCGATTTACCCTGGTTCACCCAATGTAGGCTACGTCCAGCTGAGTCAATATTATTGCAATATGCCTCACTTCTCTCGTTTACAATGAATGAATTGTTTTCACTCCCATAACAAGAGAAAAGAATGTTTATATACTAGGTTTAAGGGATTAAACCTAGTTTTACAAGAATTCCTATTCCTAAGCCCAACCTAAAAAGGAATTAATAACTTAAAAGGAATCCTACAGCGGTTATACATGGAAAAGCCCAAAACCGACTAGGGGCTCGGGGGCGCTGCCCCCGCGACCCCCTCCCGCTCACCGAGGAGCGGGGCACCCGCCCGCTGACCGGTCAGCGGGACCCCCGAGTGCGTCTCCGTTACCCATTAATGCTGAAGTAGTCGACAACTCCAACATTCTCCCATGGCTCTTCACCTTTGTCAATTGAGGTGTAGATTTTTGGAATCATTTTTGTGCACACATTGTCAATTGTAGTGCAGTGACTGTTAATTAGCTCATGTCCTTTTTAATTGTTGCAGGGGAATTCTATTAGAAATGGTTAGGGTAATGCTTCAAATACCATTTGGAAAAATGGTTCAAGGAAAATTTGTGTAAGAAATCCAAAAAGAGAGCAATCATGTGGGCGAGTGCTTTTACCTTTTTTATTTTTTGGTCTATGATTTCTGCAGGTATTATTTGTAATTGACAAATGAAAATGTAATTTGTGTAGGTTTCAAAAGTCTCAGTTTTATCATGGGGATGATGCAAAGAGAAAATATGGGTTCCATAATAACCACACAACCCGTTTGTAGCTTTTTACAAGCAACATAGGGCTCTATCTTGAAAACAAGTTGATGAGCAACAAACCTTTTTTGAGCAGAGCCGAGAAGTTGATGAGCAACAAACCTTTTTGGAGTAGAGCCAACACTAATTGATAAAAAGGTTTGTTAGGACCACTCAATTATGCTTCAACAAGCTTCTAAATTATGGTCCAGTACTAATATTATTATTTTTTAATTGAATTAATGAATCATATTTATAACATAGAATTATTTGTTTTTTTGTATTTTATTTAGGGTAATCTGTTTACATCATAGTACCAAAGATGGAAGAGTGCAGTAAAACTAAATCAAAGAACTCTTCTTCTCAATTCAATGCTGTTGAGGTAATTTTCTTTGTAATATCTTTTTATTGATTAATATAATAATTTTTTTATGGTATTATTTCTACCTTTTTGTTAAGTATTATTATAATTTAATTCTGGCTATTATAATATCTAATTAGGAAGAAATAGAAGATACAAGAAATGTAGAAGAGGAATTAGAGCTTAAGCCTGGAATGAATTTTGATTCATTTGATAGACTTTTCCAATACTATAGAAGCTATGGGAATAAAATGGGTTTTGAAGTTATTATAAGATCTTCAAATAAAGGAGATGATGAAAAGTTGAAATACGCAACACTTTCTTGTGCTTGTACTAGGAAGTCGACATGTATCTTTGGAAATGCCTTTAAAATGCATCCGGTGACGAAAATTGATTGTAAGGCTCGAATTGGTGTAGCTTTACATTCTGATGGAAGTTGGCAACTATGTTTAGTTGTCCTTGATCATAACCATGAACTTAGCAGTCCTAGCAAAACTAGATTTTTCAAGACCAATCGATTAATAGAACCATACGTCAAAAGGAAACTCGAAGTAAACGATAGGGCTGGGATTAGACCCAATAAAAATTTCAATTCCTTTGTAGTAGAAGCTGGTGGTCCTGAGAATTTTCCTTTTCTACAAAAAGATTGTAGAAACTAAATTAAAAAAGTTAAGAGGCTACGACTTGGTGTTGGAGATGCTTCTGTAATTCAAAAATATTTTTTGAAAATGCAAAATGAGAATTCAAATTTCTTCTACATAATGGATTTAGATGAAGAGGGTCGATTAAAGAATGTTCTATGGGTGGATGCAAGAAGTAGGGCTGCATTTAAAGAATTCAGTGACGTTGTAACATTCGACACTACATATTTGACCAATAAGTATGATATACCATTTGCTGCTTTTGTTGGTGCTCATCATCATGGACATTCAACATTGTTGGACATTCAACATTGTTAGAAACTAAATTGAAAAAGTTAGGAGGCTACGACTTGGTGTTGGAGATGCTTCTATAATTCAAAAATACTTTTTGAAAATGCAAAATGAGAATTCAAATTTCTTCTACATAATGGATTTAGATGAAGAGGGTCGATTAAAGAATGTTCTATGGGCGGATGCAAGAAGTAGGGCTGCATTTAAAGAATTCAATGACGTTGTAACATTCGACACTACATATTTGACCAATAAGTATGATATACCATTTGCTGCTTTTGTTGGTGTTGATCATCATGGACATTCAACATTGTTAGGTTGTGGATTAATCTCTAATGAGGACACAAAGACATTTGCATGACTTTTTCAATCTTGGCTTACGTGTATGATGAATTGTGCTCCGAAGGCAATAATCACTGATCAAGAGAAGGCAATGCAAAATGTGATTGAGATTGTGTTCCCTGGTACACGACATAAATGGGATTTGTGGCATATAATGAAGAAATTGCTTGAAAAGTTAAAAGGTTATACCCAATATGAATATATTAAGTTTTCTTTACAAAATGCAGTATATGATTCATTGACACATAAGGAGTTTGAAGAACGCTGGAATAGGTTCATTGAAGACTAGAACCTCTAGGCCAATGACTGGTTACTTGGATTGTATAATGAAAGACGATGTTGGGTGCTAGCATTTGTAAAAGATACTTTCTGGGCAGGTATGTCTACTACTCAACGTAGTGAAAGTATGCATGCATTCTTTGATGGATATGTTAATTCAAAAACCACCATAAAACAGTTTGTGTAACAGTATGAGAATGCATTGTGTGATAAATTGGAGAAAGAAACGGAGGCTAATTTTAAATCTTTCAAATCATGGATCCCTTGCATAAGCAGTTATGGTATTGAGAAACAATTTCAAGATGCATATTACATTGCGAAATTCAAAGAGTTTCAACAAGAGCTTACTGCTGAGCTCTATTGTGAAATATCTTCTTTCAGAGAGAATGATTCCTATATGGAATTTATAATAAAACAAGATGTTAGGGTTGAAGAGACTGTTGTCTCCCTTTTGTGGTATGTTTTAACGAAGCAACTTGTGATGTTCGTTGCAATTGTCAGTTGTTTGAGTTTAAAGGAATTTTATGTCGACATGCAATTGTGGTGTTGATTCACAAGTAAATTTCTCATGTACCAAAAAAGTACATTTTAAGGTGATGGAGTCACAAGTAAATTTCTCATGTACCAAAAAAGTACATTTTAAGGTGATGGAGGAAAAATATAAACAGATGTCATACCAGGGTTAAAATAAGTTGTAATAATTGGAGTATCAATCTTGAAGGACAACGATTTGATCACTTGTCTAATTTATTTTCTACTGTAGTAGACTTGGCATCAAACAGTGAGGATGATTGTAATATGGTGATAGAAGTGACCAATGATCTTAAGAAAAAATTGATGTCGAATGAAAGTGTTGGCACGAATGGTAAAAGAGAAAACATGTCAGCTAATGGTAGAATGAATTGTGAAAGTGTTGATTGTACTTCCAAAGAGGGGAATTGTAATATTCTTACTCCACGAGCTGTCTGCAGGAAAGGTCATCCTCCATTAAAAAGAAAGCAGTCGAAGGTTGAACAAATTCTTTGTAAAATAAAAAAGAAGAAATAGCGAAAACAAGTAAATAATAAAAAAGTTGAAGGTAAAAATTTATTAATTATCAATTTTGTTGATTATTCTCTTATTTTTATTCTATTTATTGATAGATAACATGACTTTTGTTATATAATTGCAGGATTGTTGGATACCAAAGCATGTGGGATTTCAATATGTGATTAGTGTCTTTTGATATCTATTTTTATTGCAGCTTGAATACTGCACCTTTTTGCTGTATGTGCAGTGTTTTGTAGAGAAGTTTGGTTTTGTGAGAATTTTTTGGATTTATAGCTTGTACGCTTCATTTTTTGTTTCTACTGTGTTTGTGTGTTGTTGTGAAGCTCGGGCCTATTATATGTGGTTATAGTTGGCTCAGTTCTTTACAGGTTTTCAGGAGAG